GTTGGTTCAACATACTCAAATTAATAAATGTGATTCATCACATAAACGGAACTAGAGAAAAAAACCACTGGATTATCTCAATAGATGCATAAATGGCTTTGATAAAATTCAACATGCATTCATGTTAAAAACTATCTATTACAAACTAGATATTGAAGGAACATAGCTCAAAATAGTAAGAGCCGTCCATGACAAACCTATAGCCAACATCTTACTGAATGGGCAAAACCTGGAAGCATTCCTCTTGAAAACTGGCACAAAACAAGGATGCCCTCTCTCATCAGTCCTATTCAACATGGCATTGGAAGTCCTGGCCAGAGGAATACAGCAAGAAAAAGAAATAAAGGGCATCCAAATAGGAAGATAGGAAGTCAAACTATCCTGTTAGCAAATAACATGATTCTATATCTAGAAATCCCCATAGATTTGGCCCCAAAGCTCCTTTAGCTGATAGCTTCAGCAAAGTTTCAGGATACAAAATCAATGTACAAAAATCACTAGCATTCCCATATACCAATAACAGCCAAGCTGAGAGCCAAATCAGGAACACACTTTCATTCACAATACTCACAAGAAGAATAAAATACCTAGGAATACGGTTAACCAGGGAGGTGAAAAATCTCTCAAAGAGAATTACAAAACACTGCTCAGATAAATCTGAGATAACATAAACAAACAGAAAAACATTCTATGCTCATGGATAAGAAGCATCAATATCGTAAAAATGACCATACCACCGAAAGCAATTTACAGATTCAATGCTATTTCTATCAAACTACCAATGACATTCTTCACAAAATTAGAAAAAATATACTCTAAAATTCATATGGAACCACAAAAAAAGCCTAAATAACCAAGGCAATCCTAAACAAAAAGAAAAAATGTTGGAGGCCTCACATTACTCAACCTCAAACTATACTACAGTGTTACAGTGACTAAAACAGCATGGTACTGGTATAAAAACAGACACACAGACCAATGGAACAGAATAGAGAGCCCAGAAATAAGGTCACACATCTACAACCACCTGATCTTCAACAAAGCTGACAAAAACAAGCAACAGGGAAAGGACTCCCTATTCAAAAAACAGTGCTGCAATAACTGGCTAGCCATATACAGAAGATTGAAACTGGACCCCTTACTTACACCATATACAGAAATCAACTCAAGATGGATTAAAGACTTAGGTGTAAAACCCAAAACTATAAAAACCCTGGAAGACAATTGAGGTAATACCATTTTGGACATAGCAACAGACAAAGATTTCATGAGGAAGACACCAAAAGCAATCACAACAAAAGCAAAAATTGACAAACGGGATCTAATAAAATTTAACAGCTTATGCACAGCAAAAGAAACTATCAACAGAGTAAACAGATAACCTAAAGAATAGGAGAAAATACTTGCAAACTATGCGTCTAACAAATGTCTAATATCCAGCATCTATAAGGAACTTAAACAAATTAATAAGAAAAAAATTAACAACCCTATTAAAAAGTAGGCAAGGGGCACGAACAGATGCTTTTTAAAAGAAGACATATATGTGGCCAATAGCATATTAAAAAAACTCAATATCACCCATCATTAGAGAAATGCAAATTTTAAAAAAGTCAAAAAATAATAGATGTTGGCGAGGTTGTAGAGAAAAGGGAACAATTAAACAATGTTGGTGGGAGCATAAATTAGTTCAGCCATTGTGGAAAGCAGTGTGTCAATTCCTGAAAGACCTAAAAACAGAATTGCCATTCGACCCAGAAATCTTATTCTTTGGATAGGAATATAAACCATTCTACCATAAAGACACATGCACACAAATGTTCATTGCAGCACTATTCACAATAGCAAAGACGTGGAATCACCCTAAATACCCATCAATGACAGATTGGATAAAAAATATGTGGTAATTATATACCATGGAATACCGTACAGCCATAAAAAAGAATGACATCGTGTCTTTCGAGGAAACATGGATGGAGCTGGAGGTTATTATTCTTAGCAAACTAACACAGAAACAGAAAACCAAATACCGCATGTTCTCTCTTATAAGTGGGAGCTAAATGATGACAACTCATGGACACAAAGAGGGGAACAACAGACACTGGGGCCTATTTAAGGGTGGAGGCTGGGAGGAGGGAAAGGAGCAGAAAAAATGACTACTGGGTACTAGGCTTAGTAAATGGGTGCCAAAACAATCTGTACCACAAACCCTGTGACACGAATTTACCTATATAACAAGCCTACACACATACCCATGAACCCAAAATAAAAGTTTAAAAATAAGTTAATTAAAATAATTGGAAAATAAGGACCTATAGAGAAAAATTAGAGGAATTTTGGATTATCTGCCTAGTGAAGGAAATGCTGTAGGATAATATCATGGAGAAGAGAATTAGAGACTTTGAGTATGATTCGGTGAGGGTCTCAGCAAGAATGAGATGTCGCACTTGTAAATGTTCACTGCAGAGAGTTTGAATTAAGGCATGGGCAGAGTTAAGAGAATTATCAAGGAAGGGAGAGCCACCTAAGCACTGGCATAACTGGTAAACTTTCCGGGCTTGTAGGGGGAAGAGGAGGGAGTGATGATACAGAAGGCAAGATAGAGCATGGGGATTTGGAGGAGGTGCTACTAGACAGGAGCTGCTATTGTCTAATGTAGTCTGCAGTAAAGCAGAAAGAGGGATAAATACCCTGACCTTGTTCTCGTTCTACAGTCTCCAGATGGTGCCACTCATTGAGCAAATCAAGTGGGAGGTTAAAGAGCAAGGAGTTCAGGGAAAGCAGTCCATGGAAACCAGCCTCTCAGAGCACAGAGAAGGACAGAAAAGAGATTATGTGTGTGTGTTTGTGGGGGGTGGAGGGGTGGGGTGGGGCAGGGAGGGGAAATGGAGAGTAAGTAGTACAAAGTGCCTGCCTGTTATACTCACAACACCATTCTTAGAGAAGCTGAGGCAACAAATACCTGCATAGACTCCATGCTTTATACTATGTGATCACAGTACCCTGGCCACAACAAAACTGAAAAAAAGCAATACCAGCAACTGACATTTGTTGAATGCTTATGATGTGCCAAGCACTTTATGTTACTCACCTCATTTAATCATCATATCATAACAAACCAATGAGTAACATAATCTTTATGATAATCACTTTATAGATGGAGAAACTGTGGCATTTGGAGATTAAGTAATTTATCCAATGTCACATAGCTCGCAAGTAGAGAAGGAATGATTTGAACCCAGGGAAGGAGGCTGGCTCCAGAGTTGTTCTCATAACCACTACACTAATAGAATAGGAATTAAGCAGGACTCTGTAGGCTGGTCAGCAACTTTCATGGTAGCCTAATGCTAAAGTTCTGCCTTACAAGGGTGTCCTGGACTGCACAGTAAATGGCTGACACAATACAATATTTTCTCTAAGAGGAACCTGAATGCAAGATACACTGCAAGTTAGCAGACCACATAGAATGTGAAGAGCTGAGAGAGAGAAGGAGGGTAGTTAGTATGGCAGGAGGAGAGATGAAGTCAGTCTTAAGTATGGCTGAGTCACCACTGTGGGAATCAGTGGACTTGGAAAAAACTTGAACTGGGTTTAAGTTGATGGAGCAGATGCTGACCTTCTAGAAATGCAATGCGTCCTGAACAAGGCTATAAGTTTGAGGCCTGCTTGTGAGGCTACTGATGGTATTTCCTGTACTTTCTTATTTTCTTGTGTGTCTTTACAATAATTTCCCATTTACTGAGGAAATATGAACCCATCCACATTCCTTGCTTTCCAGTAAAGTCCAACACAAATGAGTGAATTATTTAAATATATGAGGGTCTCTTGGGCAGAGAAGAGTCATCAGTCTCTCTCTCCCTCTGTCTCTGTCTCTCTCTGTCTCTCTCTGTCTCTCTCTCTCTCTCTCTCTCACTCTCTCTCCCTCTGGGAAGAGAAAATTGACATACTATGGTCAAAGAAATATAGTTCAGCTCTATGGGAATTATATCATGACAGACACTTCCAAGGGAGGATGTCTAAATATCTCTTTTGGAGAACTTTAAAATAATCTTCTCATCTGTCCAAGGGTGATTTACATGAGCTACTGCCTGAAGGTACAAGGATCAAAGGCTCCCAAACTGCAGATCTACAAACCTGTATCAAGTTCCTTAGAAAGGTTTCTCTGTTTTCTACAGAGTGACATAGATAAAGACTTTGGTGTTAGTCTATCTCACTCTGATTGTCAGGGTTCGATTGCTTGCCATCATTTCTTAAAACAGGCTATTTTTTCTTTTCTGCTATTAAGTTATCCCTCATTTATGAAATTATGGTAGTGGTAGGAATAGTATATTATAGTAAGTTCTTTTAAAAATATTCTTACTTGACAATATAAAACATTGGCAAATCTATCTCTGCCTCATTTTAAAAAAATGTCATATGTCTGGGAGAAATAAGTATCTGAAAACCACAGGCCCAAAGGGCCTCTTCAGGTCCCTCCTATCTATAAGATGCTAGGTTTTAAAGTCTTGAGATTACAGAAAATCAAAAGGAATAGGAAGGCAGGATGACTTTTTATTTAACCTGAAGAGGTAACAAGTTAATGAAGTCTAACCATCTGAGACATAAAAGATAATAAGTGGAGATGGCTATAAGTTAGAATTTTGTAGTTTCTAAGTAGAAATGACAGTCTAAACGTCAAATCCAAAAACATGGCCTATAGAACGCCACACCAAAGGTCACATTTAGAAGGCAGCATTCGGCTCTGGTGACAGTTACAAGTCAGATATTGCGTGATTCCATTGGTATGCAGCCATCATGAAAGGGGAACTAAAATCTTGTTGAAGCAAAAATGTGTCAAAAGGGAACTCTAAACTGGCCTCAAGGGAGTGTTTAAATGAAAAATGCCTTAGATCCTTTAAATAGAAGAAAATCAATAATTATTCCAAATACAAATTAACACGCAACAAGTATTTTCTGTTCTGTGCATGTAATACTGCTATTTACATATAACTAGTTCAACGTACCCAAAGCCTCTGCCAGGCCCCAAACCTTCTGTCCATAGATGTCGGTCTTGTTCCAAGCAAACGTGTAGACAAGATTAACTGCGGCGGGAAACCACTTCTGTGTGAGTCGCCCTTCCACAGCTACTGTGAGGTGTACTTTTATCATCCCGACAGGAATTGTTGAATGTGTCAGAAGGATCCGTAGCAGGGTTTTATATCCAGGGGTGCGGCTGCTCAGGTAACTCAGCCTCACAAAGCTGGAGGGAATGGGAATTTCCTCCTGTACAACCTGAAATAATAATAATAAAAAAAGCCAAATAGGCTCTTGTCAGTGGTCGCAGGTAGATGAGGATATTGTGTGCTTAGTTATCTTTGAAACATGCCAAAGGAGAGAGCTTAAACAGGTCTAACGATGTCAAGGCATTTGTTCTTGAATCTTTGTGAGACTGTGTAATAATAGGTTTTGAATTTTGCACAAAACCTGAATGGAGACAAGACCCAACCTTAAGGATTGTTTTTATTTTTTTCCCATGCCAAGAAAGATTGTGTAAGGAACAATTTCAGCTTTTCAATAGTGTTCCAAAAACTGCTTAGTAGGAGTTGAAAAAGATCATACCGCTGAATGTCAAGCAATTCAGTACTATAGGCTCCATTAAGGGGTCTTTTCCTTATATAAACATACACAAAATCTTGTTTGGTGTTAAGTCGTATATCATAAAACCATTGGTGTAATCCTTATTCAGGCTAGGCTCTCTAAGAGGAAGAACTTGAGAAGCAGGCCCAGCAAGTGATATTTTATGACAAACATTATAGTTTCCCTAGAATTAATCTTTACTGATGCCATCAAATTCGTTTTCTTTGGAGCTTTGAAATGACCCTGAGGCCAAATTTTTAATCAGATTTTTCTTACATATTTCTCTGTGCCTGGATGTAGCAATGGCTGGGAACAAGTTTCTCCAAGTTGGCACTTGTGACTGAGAAGCAAATAACTCCCACTAATTCCTCTGCAAATTTTACACTAAACGTTGGTCTCAGAGTAAAAATACCACTTGGCTTCTTTAATTAATCGCTATTACTTGTTTGCTTATCACCACAGATAAAGTTAAATAACCAAAGGTGGTAACTAAAACTGAATCATGTGTTCTATGACTTTCATCTTTCAAAAGACCTCTGAAGAAAAAGCCCATCCTATTCAATACACTTAAGGTGACATGAGTAGTGTAGATATTTTCATGATTTTATTCATTTTTACCTCAGAACCTTGTTCCCTCTTACTTTTCCAAACTTGTGCACATAGCAGAACTGATTGTTAAACATATGGTATCTCATATTGTCCAGGATTTTTGGTCTTTCTCCTGTTTCTGAGGACACGATCCCTTTTTTGTACACTTTGCCTAATTTTTCTCCCTCTACATTAGCCATTTGATACCAGGGTTGTCCACCAGCTGTCTTCTCAGATGGTGACAGAAGTACAATAGAGGATAGCATGACACTCACCAACTTAGTAGTTAATTTTCCTAAGAAAACATGCAATCCTAGATAAGCCTGGAAACTTTTGTGCTGAAAGAAGACCCATACTTCCTAATGACATCTGTGAAGGGATTGGTATACAAATCAAATGTACTCATTAAACACTGTCTTGTTTTTTCTTCCTTTCTAAGCAAAGAGCAATGGAAAAGATAAGGGGTAGCTCTTTGGACTGCTTTTCCTGAAGGGCAGTATTTTTGTGTGAGCCTTTCCTAAGTGGTATTCTCTGGGTACTGCTAAGAGCTGGTGGGTGGTGTTATGATGAAAGAACAATCAATTCTATCTTGGAGCATGCATTTACTTCTGGATTTCTGGATCTGTAAGACCTATGAGTCCATTTTGGTGCTTCCACATTTAATTATCATTAAAATGTTTCTATAATGTGGTGAGGGAATTGTACTATGGTTGTTTGAATGGTTTAATATTGAAATGACAATATTGAATGCTCAATAAAGAATAATTCTCAGGAATGTTAAAATATCAAGGTTCAAAAATGTCTTCTCCTGACTATAAAGCTTGAACACTCAGAAGCAAAGCTTTTTTGAAAAAAAAAAAAAAACCAAAACCGCACAGGCTTGAAAACTATGTTTATTTTACACAGCTAGACAAGAGAAGTTGTCATGTCTTCTAAGAATAATGACAATGATACAAACTAGACAATAGAAGAAAACTAGAATTTTTTTTCTTTTCTTCTTTTCTTTTCTTTTCTTTTTTTTTTTGAGACAGAGTTTCACTCTTGTTGCCCAGGCTGGAGTGCAATGGTGTGATCTTGGCTCATTGCAACCTCCTTCTCCCGGGTTCAAGCAATTCTCCTTCCTCAGCCTCTGGAGTGGCTGGGATTACAGGCACGCACACCCACACCTGACTAATTTTGTATTTTTAGTAGAGACAGGGTTTCTCCATGTTGGTCAGGTTGGTCTTGAACTCTCAATCTCAGGTGATCCCCCTACCTCGGCCTCCCAAAGTGCTGGGATTACAGGCGTGAGCCACCATGCCCAGCTCAAAAATGCAATTTCTTAAGGATTTTTAATTTCAGTACCACAAACAGTCCAAGCTCATGGATTATACTGTTATTACTAATAAGCCAGCTAGCTTTGTTCTTAGAGCACAGTGTTTATTAGGTCAAGGATTGGGGTTTAATTCTTATGAAAGCTACTTAATCTTGTTCTGTTCCATGGCCACAGATAGCATTCTAATGCCCTGGCCAATTATGTTAAAAATGTGTGTTATACCTGATGTAAATGACGAGTTGATGGGTGCAGCACATCAACATGGCACAAGTATACATATGTAACAAACCTGCACGTTATGCACAGGTACCCTACAACTTAAAGTATAATAATAATAAATTAATTAAAAAAAAATAAAATAAAAGTGAAAATTGAAAAAAAAAAAATGTGCCAGAAAAACATTTGAAGACTTCTCTTGACAAATAAAGGGCAGCACATTATAAGGATGGCAACAAGAATAGGAAAAGGAATGTAGCTATTATACACTGTTGACAATTCTATGATATTATTATTTTATACATTCAAAGGCCAATATACTCACCTGCAGCTCAGGAACAATAGTTCCCCTCTCTGGACAGGACCCTCCAAATGATGTGAGTGGTGAAGGAAGCACAATAGGGTTTGGGCTGATAAAGTTGGAGATATCGCAGGATGGCGGGTCTGATACAACTCTCTGCATGGTGATTTTCTCCACGACAATAAACTGATTCCAAGGCAACCAGAGTGTCCTCTTCTCAGGCAGGAAAGGTGATCGGTTGAAGATTAAGATGACGGAGATACCACCGATGGCTACGAGGTCAAAGCTGAGAAGGAAAAAACATAAGACAGTTGCAATCAAACGAAAAATTTAAAAATTCCAGTTAAAAAAATAGGTTAATTTCAGTGCCCTTTCCTTTTTTGGGGGATTCAACTATATCTACTTATATTGTCTATCTTATAAATTCTCTCTAGCAATATATTCATTCAATAGATGACTTCTTTTTACTCTTTTCACTATCTAGCGGTCTTCTAAGAAGACATTCCATGTCACCAGTTGATATTCCCTTGAAATTTGTAAACCGTTTTTTTTTTTTTTTTTTTTTTTTTTTTTGAGATGGAGTCTTGCTCTGTCACCTCAGGCTGGAGTGCAGTGGTGTGATCTTGGCTCACCACAACCTCCGCCTCCCGGGTTCGAGTGATTCTCCTGTCTCAGCCTCCCGAGTAGCTAGGACTACAGGTGCATACCACTATGCCAGGCTAATTTTTGTATTCTTTAATAGAGATGGGATTTCACCATATTTGTCAAGCTGTTCTTGAACTCCTGACCTTAGGTGATTCACTCGCCTCAGCCTCCCAAAGTGCTGAGATTACAGGCGTGAGCCACTGCGCCCAGCCTGTAAACCAATTAATTTTAACGCTGTCTTAAACAAAATCACTGCATGTATTTCTGCAAAGCCAAATCTGACACAGCTGCTCCCCTTGTGCTAAAGATAACAGAAAGATGACCATCTAACATTTAGCAGCATCTTTGAGAATGATGCATTATTCATTTTCCAAAAAATCTTGTAATGTAACATAAGAAAAGTAAGGAGCCAAAAGGTTAAATATCTTGTTCAGGGTCACAAACATCATGTCAGAAACCAGACAGTGTCTTTGAGATGGCATTTGGAGAAAGACATCAGCAGAGGACAATTGTTAGGGAAAATTTCTTTGAACTCAGCTATGCCCAACTGAGCCCTCTACATTTGACTACCCTCTTTGGCCTCCTAGTCTACTTGAACCTCAGATTTAAGATCTCTGGTTTGCTTCACAACGGTTTTTGGTTTCTTTTTGTAAGACAGCCTGTAATGAACCCTGCACAACTTCACCAACAACTCCTTCTCTATCTATGACAAAGCAAGACTACCTCTGCTGTAAGCCGACTCTGTCTATCTCTAGATGTGGTCTATGACAAGACTATTGCATCGGAGCTGAACAGATTCAGATTTCATTTTATTCTGCACTAGATGGTTCTACCTTACTTCTCTTTTAAGTATAATGACATCTTTGAGATGATGTACTTGAGAGCATTTGAAAAGCATAAACTCCTATATAAAAAGTAAGATAATGATAAATTATTATCATTTTTATGTTAAAAATGGATAAAGGGCAATATGATGTTCCTTAATATTCCAGGCAACTTAAATCCACAGGAGAGAGATGTAAGCAATTGCCTGCATTAAAAAAGATCTTTCAGCAAAACCCTTTTTCAATGATAAAAAGCCCTGATAGGGAATCAGACTTAATTATGGACATCTCACCACTCTCTTCTTATGACATTTATTATATTTATTATAGTATTACCAATCGTGTTTTGTTGCAGAAATTTTGCAGATAAAGATAAATGAACAGTAACAAAGGATGGATAATACCGTGTTTTTTATTGCTGCTTTTTCAGTGAAGTAGCTTTATATTAAGGCAGTTTCCAAAAAGAGGATTTGAAGAACTGTGTTAGCTACAGAGAATAATCTAGGTATGAACTAAAGAAAACCCAAACGGTTTATGGTTTAAGACAGAGGGTCTGAATTCATAATAATACGGGAGCAGTTTAAGGCAAGTGTAGTGGGGAAAATCTGACACTACTTGTCAAGAAACCTTTCCTCTAGTTCACCTTCTTTGTGGATTTAAGTATGTATCCTTGGGGAAGTTTATATGCCTCACCCAAACCTTGATTCTTGACTCAAAATTTAAGTGCTTATTTATTTAAAAACATAAAACAAACACAAACATGAAAACTAAATAAACTATCCAGATAAGAACGTAGGTGCCCGGAAATTATTATCTCTCTTTTTAAAAAAATCTTTTATTCAGTCCTTCTAGAAAGATTACGCAGACAGGCCAGGCATCTTGTTTTGTAAAAAGAATGTGGGTTTGGTTTCACATATATCTGGATTTGAATCCCAGCTCTGCCCTGTTAACTTTGTGTCTTTGGGCTAGTTATTTAACCTTCCTGAGATGCAGTTTTCTCACTAGTAAAATGAAGCCTCTATAATCTATCTCTTAGCTGCTATTGTAAATGAATAAATGAGATAAAGAATTAAGGGTCAAGAATATAGTAAGAACTCAACAACTGTTACCTTTCTTCTCAAATCAGATCCATTGTCCTACTACATTTGCCATATGTTTTCCTTTTTTTGTAGTTCAAGTGAACTATAGGCCAGCTTTTGATTATCTCCATGAGCAGATACTGATTTTTAGAGTCTCCTTGGAACTTCCTTTAGGCTTCTTATGATGGTTCATTTTATATCTCTACTTGGCTAGGTTATAGTTCTGAGTTATTTAATGAAACATCAATTAAACATCAATTGCTATGGAGGTCTTTTGGAGATGTGGTTAGTATCTATAATCAGTTGAATTTAAGTAAAGGAGATGGTCCTTGATAATGTGGGTGGGCAAAACTGTTTCTGTGAGGAAGAAGAAATTCTGCCTTAAGACCATTGCATCTCTTTCCTGAGAGTTTCCAGTCTTCCAGCCTGCCTGACAGATTTCAGACTTGCCAATCCCCACAATCTTATAAGCAAATTCCTTGGAATAAATCACTCTCTCAATACAATAATATCAATATCTATATCTATGTCATTTTGTTTCCCTGGAAAGCCCTGACTGATATGCTTCTCATCTTTCCACCTTGCAGTTATACACAGTAAACACTGCCTGGCTGACTCATTAATTGACATGGAGATGGAAGGTGGAACTGTGGCCAGAGATCCATCTAAACCATTTCCAATGCCAAATAGAATGCTCTCTGAATGATTACTTCTTTGGGATTTCTCCCACCACAAAACACCTCCATTTGTATGGATCATTAAGAACAGGTTATTAAGTCATATGAGAGTGGATATAAAAGACCCAAGGGAGAGGATTTATTTGTTTGGAGATTGTTGTCAACACATAAGCCCAACCAGTCCTATCCACAGATGGAAGGCTATTGACACCTATGCAAATTGCTTATCTCTCTCTGCTTCATGGTATCCATAAATGAACAAACTTTTGCCTTGAGGAGAATCAAAGGGAAGCCTCTCTTCATCTTCTAGTCTTCAGAACAAAGTTCTTGAGACCATTAATGCTTCTCAAGAACCTTCTAAGAATGTCATCACTTCACCTGTTTTGCTTATCATTAGCTGAACTATTTACAAATAGTTCTCTTTCAACACTTTACTGAGTACTGGTTATATATCTAAGTTGAAGGTGGTAAGTCATAGAAGAAAAGAGCAAGATTACTTGGGTTTAAATCTTGAACTCTATCTTATTATCTGGATAAGTTTTCTCATACAACAAATGGGGAGGGTGATAATAATGATATTTACCTCAGATAGTTGTTGTGAGGATGAAAACAGAGACATTCATGAAAGTGTCTAACATACAGTAGACACTCATAAACATTCACCTTTCCTTTAGAATAGGCTTTTTTCTTTTCTGCTAAGTAGGCCCTTCTCTATGTGAGTATCTAATCTCTTCATACGTTTAAAGGGCTCAGTCTTTCACCACCATCCTTCCTCCTGCTTTGAATAAATTACTTTGGTCCCATGATCTAGACCTTTCCTGGTTCTTTAGGGAAACTTGTCAGTTTACTTTTGCAAGTAATTGATAATGGGGGTAAATAGTTCTACATTCCACATGACATTTGCATTCAGCGGGGACTTTGAGAGAGCTGATAGCTTCACCCAAAGCAGTGATACCATTGGTGAGAATTATAAGCACTGTGGCCAACTGGAGGGATTGAGATTTGGACATGGAGGATCCTATCAGCAACTCTCATATCACACTCTGTCTACTAGGTATCTAGATGCTAATCTCAGCCTTTCTATACTCTTTTGACCTCAGGTATATTTTTCTTATGATTTTCTACTTTTGAAATGTACTTACTCAAACTGAGGTAGCAACAAACAGAGACATATAAATGGAAACTCTCATCACACTGTCACTTTATGTCTAAGAAATGACAGTGGAACAGTCTGGTTGGCATTTGGGGACCATATTTTGAATGCTTACACCTTTATGGAGCCTGAGGAGAGTTATTTCTAGAGGGGATTCTGACTAGTATCTGTCATCTACATAAACTCAGTTCTCACTGTGAGTTCAGCAGAGGACAGTCTTGGGGCATTTCCCTTAAAACTAAAGACACAAAAGTAACAACAAAGATTACCCTCTTTAATGTTCCCTCTAAACTGGACACTAACATTTTTAGAATCTTTAGGTATCAAGATTCTTTTAGGTTCTTGTGCGAATATCAAATAATTCACCGAAACCTTTGTATGTAAGCTAAAAAAATGAGGGTTTATCAGGCCTCCATGAGAAGTCAAAGTCAAATGGCTCAGAGGATATATTCTATTTAGAGACATAACTCATTTCTTAATTTATGGCATATGGTTGAAGATGTTAGCAAGGGTGAGGCTAGTTTTAGGCACCAGTTACTGGTGAGTGCACTACCAAAATTCCATTATCCAATCTAATTGGGAGAAAGACCCATTTGAATTAATAGAGAACTCTGATTATAGAATATTTGAAAGGAAATGAAGTTATATATATATATATATGCATATATATGTACATATATGTGTGTGCTACCAAAGTAGTTCTGCTGAGCTTGTTATAATGAAGAGACGGTTAGTAATAAGCAATATAATTTATACATAAATAATTTATATAATTTACTAAAGTCCTTAAGAACTGTTTATTTTCTTAAGTAGGCTAAAACTCTTTCTTATCATCTTTTTAAACTAATTTTTTTATAAGTACTTTCTTGACAGGATCTTGAAAAAATCTAAATCCGGCACAGCCCAAGTTGAACAATTAACATTTCTAAAGTGGCTAGGACTAATAATGTTTGATTGTAGGTTCTTGAAATGAGATAGTTTCTCACAGTGTGATAAAGCTCCAAGCCAATAGGTCTTTTTCTTTTTGCATGTGATTATTGAAGTGGCTTGATATGAATAGGACATTTAAAGGGTAGTCACCTGGAGACTAGGGCACCTCAAAGCCATTATTACAGTGCCCCTGAGAGTCATAAATAGGTTCCTTTAAGCTGGACACATGGGCCTATTGACTCAAATACTCTGAATCAATGTGTGTCTAAATGACAGCAACAAAAATGTTGTTGTGAGCAAATCCTTTTCCAGGATGAGAAGGTTTTATTTACTTCAAAGTCTTGCTTCTCAAATGTTAGAGAACCTTGAGAAGCCCTTAGAGAGCAGCCTGGTGGTTGGTGCTTCAGGATAAATCACTATAATTAAATAGGCTGGCCAAGCTTGTCCATCAGTTGCAGCCAATAGTCAAAAAGGTATCCTAGGGAGGACACATTTTTAAAGCTTCTCCATTAATGTGATTAAATTCTGTACTTTTGAAAGAAATATTTTGGATGCATTCATTTCTGAAATATTTGGGGATTACTATGGAAAAATAGCCTATGTGTTCCATAGTTCCTTATTTGTCATTTGCATAATGTCACTGAACTTTAAAGTTGGATTTATAGATGGAATTAGATAAAGGATAGAAAACTTTTCACATGGCCTGGGTTTCAAGAAGACTTGAGAAGGATTAGAAGAGGAATTCAGTTTGAATTAATTAGGAAATAGAGGAAATAAATATCACCAATGACTTTTTGAGATATAACTTGAAGAAAGATGGGCTTACCATCACTGTGTCATCTGAGCCCTGGTTTTACCCCTAGCTAGAAGTCATTAATTGGCCCCTACAATGATCAGAAACAATACTGACATACCTTCCATCTTGTCGGCTGATGGTAAACCCATAATCACTGTGGTGCAAGAAACTGACATTCACTCCCACTAGAGGAGTTCCATCTACGGCCACCACTTGGCCTCGAATCACACAGGCACGCCTGCAACGCAAGAACAAAGGCAAACAGACAAGCATGTTGAGACTAGATTCTAGAAGTCAAGTTGTAGAAACTTTGGAAAACAGTCAAGTATAACAAATAAAACAATAATTTCACCAATAGAAAACTACTAATAACATTCTGGGGAGGAGTTTTTTTTTTTTTCCTCTCAAAATTAGAATCATACTAAGTATGGTTTGGAATCCAGATATTTTAAGGTTAAAAGCATATTATTAATATTGTCCAATGTATTTGGAAATTCCTTAATATATCATTTTGTTATTATATAATACACCCTTAAATTAGTATCCTGTAACTTGCTTAACCTACCCCTGATTTTTGGACATTTTGTTGTTTCTTAATTTTTTTCTGACTTAAATTTCTTGCACATGTACCCTAGAACTCAAATTAAAAAAAAAAAATTCTTATTATTTCCTTGGGAGAGAGTCCTAGTTGTGGAATGATACTTTTCTCTTATCAAAATTAAAGTTAATTACATTAGTTAATACATAATTATATTGTAAGATAAGACTAAAGTCCCTGTTGACCGCCTTTTTCCTGCTTCTTGGTATTCTCGTCAGAGGTAATCAGCACTATTAGTTTGTTGTGTTCATTTTCTATGCATTTACATATATAGTATGAATATTTTTAAGCCTCCTGATATACACTGCCAAAGTGTCTTTTTCTGGTAAAACAACCAGCCAACCAAACAAACAAATTTAGTTCAGCACACTTTAAGTTAAAGTCTGCAAAAGAGACATGATCCCTGACAGTGGTATACTGCTTTTCTTGCCTAATTTAAATAAAATATTTCAAGACACTTTCCCTTTAAATAAATGAGTCTCATCCCCTACTGAAAAATGGAATTCCATTAAACTAGTCCCTAAATAGGGCTCTCTTTCAGGGACATAGTCCACTAAAATGTACAAGACTTTCAGCACTAGCCTGGCTGACAAGCTGTAACAAATTTCAGGAGGCTGGCGGTTAAGAAGAGTGCCCCGGGACAAATCCCAAGCAAAGATTTTTTTCACTGGTCTGCTGTTATTTGGGGAGGAAGGGACAGTTTTTTCACCAGAGTTTGATCCTAGTCTTGGCAGCTCTGAGCTCTTGGACATGAATTTTATAGCTGGAGTTGGCAGGGTTGAGGAAAGTTGAGCAAGGTCAGTGATTTTTCCTAGGGCATCAATGCCACCTTTTCTTTTTTCTTTCTTTTTTTTTTTTGCAACCAAGTGGGATTCTGGGTATCCAGGGCAGCTCAATCTTGGATTAAAGGGGGCCATGTTATTCAGACAAACATGACTTTTCAGAGTAATCCTGATCATTTCATCCTGGAGTTATACATTCTTTTAACAGAATCAGAAAGTAAAGGGAAGGATGTAAAGGGAAGGATGTAAAGCCTCATGGCCACAAACATCATTTGAGAAAAAGTAAAACACTTTTGAATAAGCTATAGATGGTAGCTTATTCAACCAGCCAAAGTTGGTTGTATATGTTTAGCCAATAAACCTCACTACTAAACTCTGTTGTAATCAGAGGAATTGGTTATAAGTTATGCTAATAGGATTTATCCTCTTCTATGTAAGGCCTTCCCCAACAAAAATTACAAGCCATTAAGTATTATGCAAAGGTAAGCGAGTATAATTGTTGCTATTAGTGTTTGTGTATTTTCTGAACTCTCAGATCAACATTTGTAGCTCTGTGACATAGATCAGTGGTTTTCTCCAGTGAGCTGTCCATTTTATGAATTATGTAAATCATGGTTCTGAGTGGCATGCAAATGGCATATTGGCACTTACTTTGCCATGTTTGATTGTCCCAATTTCTGAATCATTTTGAAATCCCATTTGTTCTAATAGAGAAGACATTTGAAGTCATTGAGTTCTGGATTTTGAACTAATTCTGACAGATCTGGTCCCAGGTTCTAAGTCCAATGTAACAAGAAATGAAAATAAAAGGACATCTCTGATTTTATACAGTAACCTTTTAGATGTATTTACAGAACAACTTTTGACAAGGTGGGTGTAGATTGAATGGAAACAAGCTGAGAAAATCTCCTGCAAATGACGTATGGATTGGTTCCAGGGGGCTGTGAAGAGACTGTAGCGATGCTAAACAATTTAGAAATTAGTTAAGCATTGTTTCCTGAGCTCTCAATGCTGTTAGCTGCTTTGGGAGTATGGTGGGGGTTAGTTATTACCTTACCAAACCTCCACCAGTTAAAAAGGTGGCCTTTACAACAATAACACCTACCTAGGTGCTTGCTGATTCCCTACTGGCAAGACAATTCCAAACTCACTCTTTTTATTTGCTCACATTAATCTAGACATTGTGTCTTTCCACAACTCTACTAGGCTCAATTATTTTTGTTTTTATTTTGTCAAGCTTAGTTGGCATTATTTTTTTCATATTTTATGACACACACAGACCTGTCTCTTCTTTCTGCTGTTCTTTTATTTTCTATATGGCTTATATTTATGAAGGATCCAAGCTGGTGAGTGAAAGTCTCATAAAAGTTATCATTATTCTGTGCATTTCCCTTGTATTCCTCTCTGTCTTCACTCTGTATCTCACTCTGAGTAGACTTGTCTTTTGACTCTTCTGCTTCTTAATATTCCTCATGTTTTATGAAGCACACAGATTTGTGTGATAACGACTCATCAAAGTCATCATTATTCAAGACATTGTCTACCTGTTCTTCTTTTCATTCATTTCACTCTTCATCACTCATAAATAATGCTCACAGACTTGTCTTTCAACTCCCCTACTTTCTTATTCCTCATATTTTATGATCCACACAAACTTGCAGCATATGATAAAGCCCCATAAAACTTATTATTCTACATTTATCAATATTGAACTCCCTTTGTAATGTATTAGACTTTAAATGTTCTAAGATTCCCTGTATCTTGCTGCATTTGCTCCCATTATTTATGTTTGGGTGAGGGAAAAGGGACAAGATGGAGGAAGGTGAACAAGATGGAACAGTCCCTGTTGTTTCCGGGTTCTTCATCACAGATTTTCCCATGCCTGGGAAAAGAACCAAACCAACTGAGCATGTGCAGAGTAACATCAAGCCAGGGACACCGAAATTCAAGAAGCCACTCCTACACACACGCCCCAAACTCCTCCCCTTCCAGCTCCCAGGCATAAAAGTCCGCCGCCGGCAGCAGCCGGCGTGACTTCTTCGGCCCCCGCATTTGTGGACTGGAGAACATCACCCGAGAGCGCTGGCGTGACTTCCCTGGCTCCCCACACCTGAGGACCAGAGAACCTCGCCCGAGAGTGTGTGCATATTTGCAATAAAAGACTGCCACTTTCTTACGTACTTTGGCCTCATGTTTAATTACTTAGCTCTCCTAAATTAAGTTACATTAAATTAAACAAAACAGTTGGTGCCGAAACCCAGGAGGAGACCCCTCCTCAGGGCCCCCTAAGGTCCAAGGAGCCTCCTTCTTCCACGCGGCAGACGGACCAGGACCTAGACATCGCTTTCCACACCTCCAAGTTTCCTAGGGGTGAATATCTCTTGCCTCCCTCTCATACTCCTTGGCCAGAAGTCCTGTGCAGGCCCAAGGTTTTTTGGTCACCAGGTGACCCACAGGAGAGTTCCCAAAGGTAGAGACGTCTGCCCAAAGGAACTCCATTCCAGTCCATGTGAGACCCGTCCAGGACGGAGATGTCCGCCTGGAGGTAATCTCCATTCCGGCTCCAGGAGTCTCCTGGTCTCTAGTGGCTCCAAAGGACGCTTTGCAGCCAGGTAGAGTTCGGTTTCCGCCTATAGGCGAGAGAAAGGCAATGGGAAATCCCCAATCCAAAATACCTAGAGACATCCCTTTAGGGTGTCTTCTAACTAATCTCAAAACTTTACAATTAGAGCAAGATCTTAGACGAAAGCAGCTAATTTTCCTCTCCACTGTGGCATGGCCGCAGTATAAATTAGACAACCAATCACAATGGCCACCAGACGGCACACTTGACTATAACATTCTATTAGATCTCTCTAATTTCTGCCAAAGGCTTGGAAAGTGGTCAGAGATTATCTATGTCCAAGGCTTTTGGGACTTGCGCTCTCGCCCAGACCTGTGCACCCAGTGTTCAATGGCCCAGGTCTTGTTAGTTAAAACCCAGCCCTCGGCCCCCACACCACAAGCAGAGGAAGATTCTACTTCCATCTCAGACGAGGCCGATGGCGGGGCACCTCCCTCCCGACCTACCAACTCCCCTCCCTATGGTCCTCCTACCACCCCTCCCTCAGCCACTCCTCTTACCTCTCCCATTTCTGCCCACACTCGCTCCAAGACCATGGTAGCGGCCCCCACTAGTCAGCCCTCTACCAGTCAGCCTGCCTCAACCCCCTCTACCGGTCAGCCTGCCTCAACCCCCTCTACCGGTCAGCTGGTCTCAACCTACCTGACTGGTCAGTCTGTTTCAACCTCCCCTGTTAGTTTGTTGGCCCCCCTCCGAGAGGTTGCCGGAGCCAAAGGACTAGTTAGAGTCCATGTCCCTTTTTCCTTGGCAGATCTTTCCAAGATTGAAAAACGGCTCGGCGATTTCTCTGCTAACTCCACCCTATATTCCAAGGAGTTTCAATACCTATGTCAGGCATATGATCTAACCTGGCATGACTTACAGGTCATTTTGTCCTCCTCCCTTAACCCAGAGGAAAGAGAGTGTATTCTTGCAGCCGCCAGGCAACATGCAGATCAATGGCATTTAACTGACGCCACTGTCCCATTAGGAGAGATGGCTGTCCTGTCCATAGAACCAGATTGGGACTACCAACCACAGCAGCCCGGCCGCCATAGGAGGACATTATGATTCAATGTCTCTTAGCCAGTATGCAGGCAGCCTCTAACAAAGTGGTCAATTTTGATAAACTAAAGGAAATCATCCAGCACTCAGATGAGAACCCGGCTTCCTTCCTAAATCGCCTTACAGAGGCACTAGCCCAATTTACTCAGCTAGACCCCACCTCCCCAGCCGGGGCAGCTGTCCTAGCCTCC